GGGCGTCCCGGGACCGCCGGTTGACTTACCCAGCTCGGAAGTGACCGCGCGTCCCTTTCCCAGTAGTTGCGCAAATTGTGAGGCTGAAGTTTGTTTTTAGATGAGATGTGACTAAGCCCACAGTGGCTATGAGGATCGAATGCGTGAAACTACCAGGAGAGGCGCCGGCCGCTGCGACTGCGGTGTCTGTCAGGCCCCTTGCACTGCTTCCCCCCAGAGATTTATTTGTGCACACAGACCTGGGGCACGGGCCAGAGGTGCAGGGGTGACAGGCTTCCCCAGCGACAGAGCGGGGGCAGGACAGGCCGACTGACGAGTACCCTGCGAGGGGAGCAGCGCCGTCTGCGGCGCCATGCGGGTCACAGGGGGCAACTCCACTGAGGCAGCTGTGGCCAGCTTGCAGTGCTGCGTCCTAGCCCGTGGCGCCACCTCTCACTTCTAATGGCCGGACTGTGACGGCCCAGAGACGGGCTCCTGAGCCTGCTGCCCACCAGAGACGACCACCAGCGACCAGCGCAAACCCAAGGCGCTGGCGGCCGCGAGAGGTCAGGGCGGTCCTCGGCCACAGCCTCCATCGCTGACGGGCTGCAGCGAGGCAGGGCCTGGGGTTGACGGGCTGCGCAGTCCTGGGGGACGCCAGGGCCCCGCGAGCCACGCGGGGGAGGGGCAAGCCCTGCCAGCAGGCCCCTCCCGGGCCTTGCGGTGGAATCTGGGCTTCAGCCCCACTTGGCCGGGGAACCACCTGAATGCTTTCGGCCAGACCTGGCATCGTCTCGTTCACATTTACCAAGCCCCTTCTAGAATGGAGCAGCCTCGTGCGCATTGAGTCCGTTGGGAAAAGAGATGCCGTTTCTTCCTGTAAGCTAGCAGTTCTCCCTAGGTTCAGTTACTTCAAAAAGTATTTTCATCTTTTCTAAGGATCCCTCGGGCTGCTCTGTTGATAGTAAGATGGCAGGGAATGAGGGCAGAGAGGATACTGGTCATGCCCAGGGGCGGGCACCTGGGGCCGGGTCACTGGCAGGAGCAGGGAGCGGAGGCTGCAGGGGTGTTTTCAAGCTGGGGTCCGAAGACCTGGGCAGGCAGAGCGAAGTGGGGTTAGGGTGGCACGCTGGCTTGTGTGTGTGTGAAGGGCCAGTTAGTGCAAGGGAGACCTGCGGCGGGCGGGCGGCATCCCGGCTCCTCCAGTGGTGCGGCTGACTGAGCAGGGCAGACTCCTCCCAGCCTGGGGTGCGACTCCAGGAGGCGTCGGTATTTGTGGGTGTGACCTTACAGGGCCACCTGTGGGTCGCAGGGGGCCTGCCATCCCTCTAGAAGTCAGGGCTGTGGGGGTAAGCAGCTAGAGATGAGTTCGCAGGGGCGCCCTGGGCGGGCTACCTCCTGCCCTTGCTTGCCCACGCCCTAGGCCTGCCCAAAGGATCTAGGCTGGGGTGAAACAGCCATTCCCCACTCCCTCGACCCAGCCTGCAAGTTAGGCGTCAACCTCAGTGCTCTGACAGTCACCCACGAGGCAATCCTGGCAGCAGGAGGGCTCCCCCCGGGGCAGCAGCCTCCTTGTCCTCCCGAGGTCCTCATGGGCCCAAGCATCCCCTCTCGCATGGACGACAGGCTCGCCACGCCTGCTGCTCTCTCTCTGCAAAACCAAACAGCCCAACGGCTTCCGACGCCCTTGGAGTGAGACAGCAATTCTTCCTCTAATGCCCTGCATCTGTCACCCCGGGGCTGTCTCCGAGACTGACCTAGCAGGTGCTTTCCTGACCCTTCGGGACGCGGAGTGTGGATATGAGCGTGTGGAGCTGTACGATGGAGGAGAAACCTGGGCCAGGAGACGCTCCAGCATGTGCAAAATGAGTCGTATCAGAGTGAGGTGCCAAACTGAGCTGAAATTCTAGTGGCGGCACAGTGAAGCTCTCCGCAGCCCCCTGACTCGGCCGGTCTGAGACAGTGTCACTTAGAAGCACACATCACCGGGAAGGACGGAGAGCGCGCGCTTTGGGGCGCAGCCACGCGGCTGGGGGCTGGCGCTGGAGAAAGGGCCGGTCCCAGCGGGAGAGAAGCGGTGAAGTGGAAGGCGGCCACGCTCTCGGTCCAGCAGTTGCGGCGTCAGGCGCGTCAGTGCTGCCGGGGTAGGGTAGCCCACCCGCCCCGCACCCCACAAGCCGGGGCCCACCGGCAGCGTCCAGGGGCCCAGGGTTCACTCTAAGAAGCGACGCCAGGGCGCCTGCTCACAGCGCAGGCCGGGCCGTGTCAAGGCCCTGCCACTCGGGGTGTTGCTGCAGCATCAGCTGGCCTGTCCCGCAGGGATGCGGCCTTCCCCACCGTCCCCTCTGCAGCCACCGGCGGGGCCAAGGGGCAGAGGCTGGAGTTGGAGGTGCCGGAGACGGGGCGGAGGAGCCCGCCGCTGGGGCGAGGGTGCCGGGCCAGGCGTCTGCCCACGCCCACTCCTGTGCCTTAAACGTTCTCGTCGCGATCGTAATTACTGGGTCACCCACACGAGACTGGGAACTAGTTTTGTGGGGACAGGACTGAGCCCAGTCTATCCCCAGCCGTACCGGAGGCCGGCCTGGGTGGGGTCTGTGAGAGCCGCAGCGGAGGCCTACCGCCACCACCAGGGTGCTCTGGGGGGCCTGACCACCCCACCCTTCCACCTGTGCGCTGGGGCGCAGACCTGCTTCCCGCCAGGGCACACCAGGAAGCGCCTGGGACCCTCCTGCTTGTCACCACAACGCAGCCCATTTCTCCCTCGGCCACCACCTGCCCGCTGGCGCGTACTACTCAGAAAGCTCTCGGCTGTAAAACCCAGACCTCCTGGCCCCAGGCCCAGGGGCAAGATGTGACGCAAGCTATGCCACGTCCATCGCCTGACAGATTCCGGGCAGGTCGGGATAAGCTCTGAAAAGTCAGACTGTCCGCTGCTAACTTTTATGACCTCCCCTTTTTGTATAATCGTAATATCAAAATAGTCTGAGCAACCATCAGTTTACAACTGGATTGTCTTAGCCACACAGGCGGCTGCCTGGCCCAGGCAAGCTGCCCCAGGGCGGGAAATCCCTGTCTCCTGAGACAAAAGCCAAGCCCCAGGAGAGAGAAGGCCCCAGGGCATAAAAACTCATGGGAAGCTTCCTTGGTTTCTTTGAATAAAAAGCAAATCTCAGATAAGACTCCCCGGGCATAAGGACTCATGGACAAATTTTAACCTTGACTACACAGGTGTTGTTTGATACACAACTGTACAACTCTCTCTTAACTTACTCCTTTTAAAACAAGCACTGACTACTCTCTGCCAGCCTTAAATTAGCCACTAGGTTTGCTTTAGACAACCACTGATAACACTGCTAACATAATTTATTACTTCCCTAAGGTCCCTAATAGCCTTTTGCTAACAAGCTCCCCCTTTCCCAGACCCCTCTTCCCCGAGTGATAACTAGACAGCTGTACACATGGCAATTATCATAAAACGTATAATTTAGCATACCATAAATTGTTAAGAGAAGAATGCTTTTTGCCCTTGTCCTTGAGAACGTTTAATGGCGATCTCTCATGAACTCACCCTATGCATTATTGCAATGAACTACTTGCTACACGGTATAAATGAAGACCTGCTGAGGGACAGCAGGAAGACTTGCACCCTGTCCTGACTCCCGTGTCTTCCTGACGCCCGCTCCCCTTTTTCCCCTTTTAGGAATCTCCGCTCCCCGACGCCTTCCCAGTTTAGGGTCCTGCCTGTGCTGCCTCCAGACACCTCAATAGCTGGAGCTGGTCTCCAACAAAGATGCATTGGGATGGCCATGTTCTGCCTGCCTCTGGCCATACAGTGTGACCCCCCATCTTCACCCATAGTACTGGTTACAAACCAGTCAGTACTCTAGTTGGTTTGCCAGATGGTTTTTTGAGGGATCAACAGGGCAGTTCTGCCGTAGTCTAAACGGGCACCACAAAAGGTCAGAAACACCCTACATGAAATCCCTAATCAGTAGGGGATTGAGTAGGAAAATGGTGAGAATACTATGCAGCCATGAAAAAGAACCGGGCCCTGGAGCAAAGCCCAAGATTGTGGTCAGATGGAAAATGGAATGTACAGAATAAGGCAGGCTGGGAAAATTCTAGTGATCTGTTGTACAACACGGGCTTATAATTAGAAATACTCTGTGGTACGCTTCAATCTTGAGGGGCCGAGCCCGTGAGGTGATCGCATTGCACACATGTGCACTTGTGCGCATTGCATGGGACCTCAGGAACTCTTGGAGGTGATGTCCGCTACCTACCTTGTTTGCAGTGATGCTCTTAAGGGTGCATGTGTGTCCAAACTCATTACCTGAAAAAACTTACAGCCTTTTGCGTGTCTATGATACCTCAGCAAAGCTGCTTCAGAAAAGGCTTCACAGGGTAGAAGAGCCAGAAAATGAGCGCCTTGCTGTTGGCTTGTCTCTGCTTGTACGAAATGGTTACTGATCCTCGGGGGGTGGGGTAGCCTGTGCCCTGGCTTGGCCTGGGAACCTCTGGAGTGTGACGGTTTCCTGTCTGCAACAAAATTCTTCAAGAAAGTCAAAAGAACGAAAAGGAAATCGGCATGCTCGGTTTTGACACTTCAGCGGCAGGAACGTACCCCGCAGGATCCATGCCCGAGTTGGGATGATCTGTCCGTCCGTCTGTCCACCCACCCTCCCTCACACATACACACACCCCTGCAATGCTGACCAGCCCCCCAAGGCAACGGCCAGCGGCCTGTGCCCTCGGCTGCTCTTGACCTCTCCACTTCACCGCTGTGAACAAACAGAACATGGCAAAGCGACGGGCTACCCCTCCCATGACTGGGTCGCAGGGGGCATCTCTGCGCTCCACTCGGGGTCCCCCTCTCCTGGCCAGGGAATTTGGCCGCCATGCTGTGAGCTGCGCCGAGAGCCCACCTGGCCCAGGAGTGCCGTAGCCCACAGCAAACCAAGAGCCGGGGCGGGACAGCAGCCTCCCACGAGGCACTGAACCACGTCAGGGCTCAGGCCTCCAGAGCCGAGCCTCCGGCAGACAGCGCGGCCTGCCCACAGCGTGCCCACCTGGGGTGCCCGGGAGGGAGCGTGCGGCCAGCCCGGCCCAGCCAGCTGCCGGGGCGGAGGCAGGTGGCGCGTGGGTAGAGCCAGACCAGGGGCTTCGTGGGGCCAGACAGACTGCTTCGGTGGGCAGTCCCCAGGACGAGGGCCCCGCTGGCCACTGAGGAGAGTCGCCCACGCCCAACTGACTGACCTCAGAGTGAGAACACCCAGATGTGTCCACAGACACCAGCTGCCGTCTCGTGGGGGCGACGCGGGGCCCAGGGAGTGTGGGCGTGAGGGGCGCCGCCCTCGCATCCTCGCCTCACTGCAGTAAGCGTGCACCCCAAATGTTCTACTTGTCCAGGAGCCCAAGACAGGAATAGGGATGGGCGAGTCTGGCAACCTGGACACACACACCCCCTTGGGCTGTCTCAGACTTTCTTCGGCGGCGGCAGCCAGCGTTTTCCTGCACCCCACAGGCTACGACTACTGTGTGGCGTGTTGGGTTTCTGCCTTCGCCTACCGCGCCCCCCTGCCTGGGGAGGATTCTCTGCTGTCCTCAGCCACTGCTGCGGCAGGCAGACACAGCCGCCCTGCGCCACTGGGGTGGAGCCAGGCAGGCCCGGAGGCCGGCTGTGGTGAGGGGCGGACCCACCCAGAGGCGAGCGGCTCCCCAGTGGGCCGGTACTGCCCTTGGGCTCCTTCCCCGACCCCCCCAGCCTTCAGGGGGAGCTGCGGCTCCCGAGGCCGAGAGCCCAGGGTGCGTGCGGGGACCGGGTGAAACCTGCTCTGTCCGAGGGGCGCACCAGGCCCTGGCACCTCCCGTCTCTGGCCCTCTGGGGGCGCCTGTGTCTAGCGCCTTGCTAACCCGCCGGCTTCCTCCGGCCTGGCCCGTGAGCCTCTGACCGCCCGCGGCCCTGTGCTTCGTCTAGGGGGGCTGCGGCCAAGGGGGAGCCCTGGCGGGCCCAGCCAGCCGGTCTGGGCCCAGCCTGTGTCCTGCGGGCGTGGTCCGCCCGGCGCTGGCTCACCCCGTGTCCCTTTCCACAGCTTCCGACAGTCGACCCCTCTCTGGACAACTCCCGGCTTCCGGACCACCGCACCGGGCTCCCGGCTTCTGCCCCTGCCCCACCCGTCCACGTGGGTCTTTCTCAGGGCTCTGTCCTTGTCCTCCGCTTCTTCTTCCCGAGGTCGCAAAATGGCAGCCCGGGGGCCTCATGAGACCCACAAGCAGATTTTGTTTGGTCCTCACAGTGTTTTGGTTGCAATTTGAATGCCACCGGGCGGGGCAAGCACTCTCCAAGTTCGCCACAGTCCCCATCGTTCCCTAACGTCTTACACCCGTCCATGCCACACATTTCCATCACCTGCCTGGTGCCTGAAGTCATCCGAGTTTCTCAGAACTCCTGCTAAGAACCCCTGCCAGGGACGCCTCGGCCACCTTCTCCACTTCCTCCACCGCCAACAGCACCGCTTTGGGTGTGCGTGAGCATCTCCTGGGGGCGCGTTCCAGGCGCCGCGCCCAGCCCCCTCCCCCCGCCAGCAGTGCGAGCAGGGATGGTCAACTCAAATGCCTCCAGGAGCCAGGCGGGTCACGCAAATGGGAGCACTAGCCAGGTATAAGAAAAGTCGACGGCCAGAGGTGTAATAATCAAACTGCGTCTTTACTGAACTACAGTGAATGCACGGGACAGAATACAAACAGGTACGATACTGGAGTTTATATTTCAAATTCAAAATTGAAAAAATACAAATTGAAAAATAGAAGTATTTAGTTATTAAAATTTTTCTCTTTTGGGATTCTTTTTGCCCCCTCTGCTGTCGGGCCGGAAGGCTGACACCCCCCTTTCTGCTTGACCTTGCCTCCTTCAGCTGGGAGCGGGCTTGGATTCGATTCAGTTTTGTAACGGAAAACAGCTGTTCACAGGCGTGGCGCCTCCCAACGTGGGGATTCCGGACGACGGCTGAGAGAACTTAGGGTTCTAGCGGCCAGCAGTCACGCTGGGGACGCAGCCCTATTGCACTGGAGTTCGAAACTGCTGTTTGTGGTCTGCATTCACGCGGCTGACGCGGACCCACCCGGGCCAACTGGACAGTGTTAGTTCATTTTCACAGTCTGGATGTAGAAAGCCTTTGGGGGGAGCACGGCCCTTCACCCCACCATCTGGGGGGAACAGTCTGTGCTGCAGCAAAGGAAAGGGAGTCCGGGTGCTCCTCGCCAATGGCTTCCCCGATTTTGTCCATCAGGATCATACATTCAAGTAGCTGTTTGTGAAAGTCTCTGCGGAGAAATATGAGTGTTCAGAAGGGCCGTAGCCTTGACCGAGTCTCTGACTGACCTGGGGACCCAAAGCGGAGTTTTCACTCAAGAGAAACGAACCAGGAGCCTGGTATCAGCAGCTGAGAGTTCTTCCAGGCCAGACACTGGTCAGCTGCCTGCGGTCAGGCGGTCAAGGTCACCATCAGCCACTGGGGCTGGAGGGCAGGGGCCGAGCTGGACGTTTCTGCGGGGCCGCTTGCGTTCTCTGCTCCACACCGCTGGCCCTTCCTCGGCCCGGACCCCCTCAGGTTCTGCTGCTGAGGGAGGCGCCTCCTGCCCGGCACGTCCCGCCCCGGCGGCAGACTGGGCCCGGCCCCGCCTCCCAGGCTGCTCGGGTCACACCAAACGTCTCACAGCACAAATAAATAAAGCTAACTGGGCGGCGACAGTTCACAAGCAGCGAGAAAAGGCCACGAAGGATTCGACTCTTTCAAGCAACCGGAAACCTCATTTCTCTGGACGCGGCCAGCGGCGCCAAGGCCCCGGCGCCTGAAGTCACGGCCTCGAGGCGCGGCTCTGCGGGTCGGGTCTGCCCGCCCCTCGGCAAACTCGCCATCCTAGGGGATTTTAATGCCCAGAAGCTTCTCCCAGGTCCTCCCAGGAGGCGTGATGGCAGCGGCCGCCTGCCATCGCCCTCCGGAGCCACCTACTGGCACTCGAGCCCCTTCTTGAGCTCGTTGAGGACGGCGTCCCGCGTCTGCTCCGTGTACTGGTCGTAGCTCTTGCTGTGCTTGGACTCATAGTGGCGCCTCAGGTTGTATTCTTTCAGCACTGACACGATTTTTTTGCATATAAGACACGTGGGCAGGCTCTTCACTTCCACAAAGAAATAGGCTCGCTCCCACTTTTCTCGAAACACGCTGCCCTCTCGTTCTCGCTTTCGCTTTGCCACTTTTGATAGAGACATGGGTACAAGACAGATTTCACTTTCCTCTCCACACTGCCCAGGGACCACCACTGTGCAAGCCCGGGGACGGAGGCCACGACCCTCTGCCCACGGTGGGGGAGCGAGAGGGAGTGGTGGGGACTGTGGCGAACCAGAGAGCGCATGCCCCAGCGAAGGGGCAGCTCCGGCCCGTTGCTGCTAGGCAGAAGGGCGGCCCAGGGGTGCCGGATCTTCTGACTCGTCAAGAGAAACCAAGACTGCAGACCGCGTGCGTCAATCATCCCGATTTTCACAACTAACTCGTTAGAAGAGAAGTGCCCCGGGATGCTAACACGGGAAGGCCAAACAAAACTACTCTGCAGAGCGGCCCACGGGCCACCAGGTTGCAACCTCCCCAGGGACGGGCCCGGGAATCCGACATCACCAGCGACCCCAGTGGCGTGGACGCCGAGGGTCCACGTGGGGACCAGGCTGACCACGACTCTCGCCTCTGGCAGGAAGGCTCCCGCGCCCGAGGCCTGCTCCCCGCACGCGCCCGCCAGCGTCCTCTGCCGCCGGGCCTGTCACAGGGACAGCAGCTGTCCCCTCCACCAAAGCCTCGGAAGCTGGGTCTCCGGGGGGGACCCACCTGCCTCCCCATCCTGCCCTCCGGCCACCGGATGCACACGGCGCTGTGCCCGCTTCTGAGTGCCGGCGTGGCCCGGCGGGTGGGCGGCCCAGAGCCCGAGCCGGCCGCCAGCAGGGAGGCAGCGCCCGGCCCCGCTCGCCCGTCTGCTCGGCCCACCTCGCTGGCCTTCCGCTCCCCGCCTGTCCGCTGCCTCGCCCCGTGGCGTGCCGACCAGCGGGGTCTGACCGAGTCGACCCGGGTCTGCCCGACCTTGGCTTCCTGCGTCCCCAGCACAGACCTGCAGCTGCTCGGTGTGGGACCCCAGCGCCATCACCGCCGGGCACCTACCCGCTCCTCGCCCTCCTCGCCCGCACTCTGGAAGCTCGCTCCCTGCGCCCGCCCCCACCCCGCGCCCACCTGCCCTTCCTTCCCCGCTTCCCTGACTCCCGCTACTCTCCCAGACTCTGCTGAGCCCGGCTGGGTCAGCGGCCGACTTGGGGCTCGCCCGGCACCCTCTGCCCCGTGAGAGCACGTGGTCCCAGGAGCGCTGCCTGCCTGCCTCCACGTCGCCCCTGGACACAGGCCGTGCCTGACGCAGCGCGGAGGCCGCGTCACCGCCCGGGCCGGCCCGGGGCCGCCTGCTGAGCCGAGCCAGGACAGAGGTGCTCTCCGGTCTCCTGCCCAGCCTGGGGTCGTCATGACGGGAGCCGGGCGTGTGTTAAGAGGAACTTTATTGGGTGTCGGGGGTTCAGATGAGGTCCATGAGGATGTCGTCCTCCATGACGCTGGGCTGCAGGCCCGGCTGGGGGACCGGGCCCCGGGGACCCCCGTTCAGCAGCATCTGACCTGGGGGGCAGTGGGGAAGGGACTGCATCTCCCAGTAGTCCCTGGGGCCCTGGAGGGCCCTGGGCTTCCTCCTCCCTCCTCCTCGGGGAGCCCGATGCACTGTTCTCTGGATGTCTCGGGGACATCAGCGGTGCCTTCCGGACCCATCTGGCCGTAGGTCTGCTCTCCCGTGAGTCTGTGGGAGCCCATCCCCACTTCGCATTGCCTCTCCTGCCCTAGGACGATGCTCCCCAACAACCCCGCGAGGACACACAGAGGGCAACAGTGGAAAGAGACCTCACCCTACTCAGCCCTTGCCCTTTGGGATGTATTTACCAGGAGCCCTCAGAAACCCCCACAAGCCCTTGGCAGACCCGCTATTCTTGAATCCCAGAACTTCATTCCCAGGAGCCCTGAGTCTGGGGAACACTAATCCAGACCCCTGCCCTCCCAGGGACCCCCTTACCTGGCAGTGGAGCCCGCGGGGGGAGCTGAGCAGGCCAAGGCTGGGTGGGTGGCGGGTGCAGGAGGGGAGGCCCCAGCGGCGGCTGTCCCAGGCCCTGGTGCGGCGGGGGTAGCAGGGTGGGGGCCCCTGGGGGCTGCAGGTGGTGGAGGGAGGCCTGGGGCGGAGGGACGCCCGTCTGGGGCTGAGAGGACAAGGAGAGGGGCTCAGAGGCCCCACCGGAGACCCGAGGGCTGCTCTGAGGGCTCTTCATGGGGCCTCCTCCCCCGAGCACCTCAGCAGAGGCCCATGTGGGGGACAGAGGAGGGCCCCGTGGGGACTATGCTCACAGCCACACCCCAGGCAGCACCCACCCCCAGCCCCCGAATCTCACCGGTGGGGGGTTGAGGAGGAGGCTCCGCAGCTGGGGGTTGGCCCCGGGGTTCTGGGGCCGAAGGATGGGTCCGGGAGGGGGTGGGCCGGGGGCTGCTCCAGGAGGGCCTGGGGGGCCGCCAGGGGGGGCCTGGGCAGCACTCTGGGGCTGCGGCTGCCCTGCTGCTGCAGAGGCCCCCACGGAGCCCTGAGGCTGGGGCTGCGGCGGGCGGAGCTGGAGCTGGTGGGAGAGACAGGGGTGAGGCCAGGCTCCCGTGTGGCTTCCCGAGTGGGGTCACGCTTGTGTCCTTTGGGGTCTCCCCCCACGGCCCTGTCCTTACCAGATTCTGTGAGGGCCTCGTCTGGTCCTCCAGAATGGGGCCCAGCCCAGGGGGCGCCTGCTGTGCCCCCATCTGTGAGAGAAGAGTGAGCATGGTCAGTGACCGGCGGGGCCCTGCGCCAGGGAGGCCTGCGCCCTGGAGGGGCCCTGCGGCAGGAACGGACAGGAGCCCACTTCCTTTCAGAGGGGGGTGGCCTGGGAAAGAAAGGGCCGCCCCCAGCCCCCCAGGGGGCTGCGTCACGGAGACGGACAAGGACGCTGAAGGGAAAGGACGCAAGGGAGCGTGGGGCCCAGGCCTGCTGCCTCGGGGCGGCCGACGAAGCTAGACGGGGGCTCCCCACGGCTCCCAGGAGCCACCTGAGAAAACCTGACCTGGTGTCTCGAGAGCCCGCCCAAGCGGGAGGTCTGACCCAGGGCTGCGGCCTCGACACCCGCTGGCCGGCTGCAGGGTGGAGGCGCCCGGAGCAAGCCCACTGGGCCGGGCCCCCCACACCCGCCCACGGGCGGGTCACGCAGCGCGGGCAGAGAGAGTCAAGGCGGGCTGAACTCGGGTGCCTGTGCCGGGAGCCCAGGGACAGCGGGGGGCAGCGTCACTCACCCCCCGCTGCTGCTGCTCCAGCTTCTGCTGCTGGACCTGCTTGTGGTTGGTGATGACCTGGCGGATGCCGTTGACGAAGCCGCCCTGGTCGTAGGGGATGAGGCCCATGAAGATCTTCTTCTTGGACGAGTACAGCAGCATGAGCACGCGCACCTCGCAGGGGGCCGTGTGGGGGAAGTGCACGCAGCCGGCCTGGGGGACGTCACAGCGTGGGCGGGGGCCACCTGCCAGCCCGGAGGGCCGGAGGCGACGCGACCTCCCGGCGGAGGAGCAGGGCCGAGGGGCTGGGAGGGGCTGCTGCGGGGGGGGGGGGCTGACAGGGCAGGACCCCACTTCCCCAATGCTGACCCCGTGCCCTGCCGCGTCTCCCTCCCCACGGGCCGCTGGCACCCCCAAGTGGTGACCCGATAGCGGGGGGACCTGAGACCCAGACGCCAGCGAGCCCCCTTGGCTCTGCGTCTGTGGTGTGGCAGCGCCGCGGTGGCCAGGCTGCACGGCCAGGTCGTGTGGATCCGGCCAGCGCCCCGCACGCAGCCACAGGCGCAGGGAGTGCTGGGAGACGCCAGCCACGAGGCGGAGACCAGAAGGTCCGGAACGGGGGTTCCCGGAGGGGAGGGATGCGCGGGACCGGCCCTACGCCCCGAGCCCTGGCTACGCGAGCCGGCCAGCCCGGCCTCTTCTGCAGGGACAGCCGGCCAACGACCTGTCCGCACCCGGCTGCCGTCTCCCCCGCATACAGAACCCCGTGTACCCCGGGGGTCCATTCCGCCCGGCTGCGCTGCAGCTGGGAGTGGCCCTGAAGCCTGGGAGACAAGGGGCCTGCCGGGGGTGGGAACAGCTACTCTCCCCCAGGCCAGACCGCGCAGCTCACGCCGTGCCGCCCGGCCAGGCCACTGCAGGCGCCAAGGCACTGGAGCCGAGAGCCTGCTGGCCGGCGGGGCCATGGGACGCAGAGCCGCTCCTCAGCCCAGCCCGGCCTCTGCTCAGAAGCCCGCACAGGTGCCCCCAGGCTGCGAGGAGACTGAGCCCAGGGGCCCCCACCCCAGACCCCGCGCCTCCGAGGGGATTCCCACCCTGCGGCCCTGAAAGCCTCCAGCTGACCGGGCTGGGGGCCACGACCTGCCTCTGTGAGACTCGCCAGCTGCGCCCAGTCAGCCCCCGGCGGTGAGCTGCAGACCCGCAGCCGCCCCCAGGACTGACGCGCGGCCCACTCGCACACAGGGCTGGCTGCTGAGGGTTCTGTGGGCGCACCGAAGGCGAACCCCCGCAGTTCCACCGACCTGCCCCTGTAGAGGCTTCGCCTGGTGAAGCAAGCGCAGGACGGGGCCTAGAGGTGGACGGCCCGCCCCGCCGGCCCCGGGAACGCGACCGTTATGTGGACACAGGGAGAGGCGGAGCCGGCAGCCGAGGACGAGGGGTGCGAGCCCTGCGTGGCTGGTGTCCCCAGAAGGGGCGAGGCGGCGGCTGAGCCGAGGGCGGGAGCTGGCACGAGCCGCCTGCAGACGGGCCCTGCACACCTGACCAGACTTCCAGTCCCAGAACAGTCCCGGGCCCAGGAACGAGGGCCCTGGCGGAGCCTGTCAGCGCCAACAGCTCGTCACGGCTTAGTGACACTGACCGCCACCTCGCACATGTGTCACAGCAAGCGCTCAAGCTCCAGGCCTCCCTGGTGGCGCAGGGGTTAAGTCTCAGCACTATGGAGCTGTCCTCAGCGCCGGCCCAGCAGGTTTCAACCCACCCCCTCTCCCCCCCCACCCCGGGGCGTGACCCCAGGGTGCAGCAGACCCCTCCTGTCTCCCCGCTGCCCCCTCAGCAGTGGGTTTCAGCACATCTGCCTGTTCTGCCCCCCACTCTGTCTCTGAGGAATCCTCTCACCCCACCCTGCACCTCTGGCCTGTACCCCAGTTCTTGTATGCATAAATAAACCTTTAAGAGAGTTCAAGCTCCAGAAGGAAGCTGAGGGGCCCAAGGTCCCCACCCCACACAGCTCTCAGGCCCTTGGGGTGGGGTCCCTGGGAAAGATCCACAGAAGGGAGGGCGGGGCGTTGGCACCCCAGGGGCGCCCCCACACCCAGGACTCACGAAGCCGTTGCCCATGATGCGGTAGAGGCCTTTGAGCGACTCCAGGTCCTTGTTGGTGAAGTGGAACTGGACCATCCTCGAGTTCCGGAACAGGGGACCTAGGGTGGTCTGGGGGTGACACGGGAGGGCGTGCTGGGTGAGCAGAGCTGGCTGGCAGGAGTGGGTGGCCTAGGGCCGAGGGGTGCACACCGAGCTCCCCTTACCAGCAGCTGCTGTGGGATGAGCTGCATGATCAGCTTCTGGGGCCACTGCTCTGTCTTCCTGCGAGTGACGGGGGGGGGG